ACAGCATATTATTTTATTATACAGATTTATGAAAGAAACACTAATTTGGTTACTAATAACAGACCCAGTATCGTCATAAACCACTGATCCACGTTGTTCATTAATTTAGAGCACCTCAAAGCACCTTTAATCTTTAGCAGCTCTACAAAGTACTTCAGACTGGCATTAGGAGCTGCTTCAGGTAACACATGTGAGTCATGACAGGTCAAGATTTTAACTACCCACACTGAATCACTGTATTTTCTAAAAAGACCATTTGAAACAGCTCATTTTCACAACCATTTTTTCCAGGTTAGATCATTAGATGCAGCATTTATTTATTTTTTGAAGATCGGTACTTTGAAATGTATTTTACAATATGAATATGTTTATACAAGAACCCTTGTTTAAAATTTTATGAAATGAAGGCAGACTTTCCTGCTCCATGTTAGTTATTTCATAAGAACAAAGTTCCTGTTTGATATTGGATACATAAAAAAAATTACAACTACTCTGCTGGACAGCTGTATGATCTCCTCCCTGATCCCTGTGTAAATATTTGATCATGCTCTACCCAGAAGTCTTATACTGAATGTCTGATAAAATAAACAATGTACACCAACTTTTCTCTGCAGTGTAATGATCTTTATCCTTTGAACATTTTCTTACAAACCATTAATACTTAAACGAAAATATTTCTTTTTTCCTTTTATCTTTGCAATTTTGCTTGAAATTAAAGCCACAGTATTTTATTGCATTGAATCAGAAAAGTACATGGAAGTTGATTTGTTTTTAAAAAAATCTAATATAAATAAAAGTAAAATGCAAAAGTCGTGTTTAATATGAACAAATTACTGTTTTTATAGCTGACACCAGATTAAATTTAGGATTTATTTAACAGAAATACTTTTCTGGAAAGTCACTGCATCTTGACGGTTTTAGCACGAGTCATCTCAAGTAGATGATTTCCTCATCTTTTCTCTGCATGAACAGACACTCAAACTCACAAACATGTGTTTTGTTTACCATTGCTTTGCCAAGAGGACCAAGAGATTTCTCAGAGGCCAACCCGGATGTTGGGACAAAGTACAAGGATCATAGACGCCCACGGTGACCTGTAAAATCCAAAGAGGAGGGCTTACGAGTATTTATTTCTGCATGGGTGTGTCAAAAAAAAAAAAGATCAAATAATCAAGAAAGAAGACTAAAGTTTTGGTTTGAGGGTAGTAAGACATTTCCTTCAAAGCTATAAAACTAGACAGAATTTTTTTATACCTTTTGAACCTGTATTTGAAACTTTTTGAAAATCACTTTATAAATGGTTTTAGCGAAGCATAATCTCTTTATGAAAATACCTTCTTAGTATCAGTGAAAAATTTCTTCCAGTCCTCAAGCAGAGCCATTTCAACAGTGTCCTCAGTGTATTTCATCAGGAAGAAAGGAACAGCAGTGATGCCACTTTTTAAACACAGGCCATCATAGGATTCCTGCAGGGCTGAGATCTGACAGATAAATCATTAAACTATTAATCCCAGGAAGTGCTCAAAAACAACAAAACTGTAATTCTTTAGTAGTAAAAACAGAGGCAAAATGGATAAATACCAGTAACTGTTTCTCCATCATCTCTGATAACTGTAATTTAATATTTAGCGCTTTGGATGCTTTTATATTATTATGAACAGATGCATCCTAATTTTAACAAGCGACGATAATGATAACTTCTGGTAAATATCAGGCCTGGGTAAATTTTTGCATTTGAAATTAAAATAGTTTACAAAGAGGATGCAGAGAAGAAATACAACTGATCCTTAAAGTGCCAATAAATCAAAGATTGTAATTCAGTTTCTTTTGCTTACTTTTAATGTAAGCAAATGTTAAAACACTATCAGTGTAAATGTGTTGAGATATTTACACTGATAGTGTCTAAAACACTAATAACTACCAGAAGGAATTAGGAAATGGTCCCTTTTTCAGAAGAACTCCATTAAGCTGTGACTGCTTAGTTACAGGGGCTAGCTGAAATACAACCAATTCTTTCTCTGCTAAATATATTATAATAATGTTATGTGAACTTAAATAAATTATAGTAAATGCAAAGAATTCTTAGAATATACCTGCTACAGGGATTCACATATAAAGCAAATATATGGTCCTTGCAACATAATTGTGTGCGATATTAATATTGTGGATGAGAGTTTGGAAGGCCAGATATTTTATATTCAAGCTTTAAGATCATAAAGGGTCTCAGAATCACATTTAAGAAAAGGGGGCGGGATATAGATTTATCACATAAATGTATGGTAAGCTGTTTGTCAGTAATATTGCATTTTCATCAAACCCTACTTAATACAAGATAATTGTGCATCCGTAACATATAATGAAAAAGGGTGAACTAAATTGTGTGTTTGGATCTATAGCCAGAAATGTGCAAGTTAAAAGTCTGAACGATTAAGTTCCTTTTTAAAATGTTCTGAATTTGAAAACCTGGCTTAACAAAATAATCCAAATTTCACCATGATTGCTGCTCTTTTAGCATTTTATATCCAATTAAAGTCATGGAACATTTGTGCCATGATGAGAAACAATTTATTTATGACTTAGAACATTAATAATAGCCTAATCTCCAAGGAAAACAATCTACTCACTTGGCATTGTTTTTTTAATCAGAGTACAAACTACAGTAAAGGTATATAAAACAGAATGTTAATAAAGTATAACTACTGTAAGAGAGATGTGTATACATTTCCTTTGTCAAAGAAAGAATGTGCAATGTTCTGGCTTTCAAAACAAAAATTTTAAGTTCTTATTTTTTTGTCATGTAAATAACAAATGACTACCTGTCTCTGTGAGAAAACTTGCTCTAGGGTAACAGGTGGCTGGATCATTTTCAAACCCTCAGGGAAACAAAGTGCTGGGAAACAGAACCAGTAGTAGAAATGGTATTTCTTCAGGTCCTGCAAGGAGATATCAAAGAGTTATTAATTGATTAAGATGTTCCATGCTTGAAGAGAAAAAAAAAATCACAAATATATGGAAATAAGACATTTATATGGTTATTTATAAATACACACCGCAAAGGTCAATAGAATGAATTTGCAGAGGATAGATGGGTTCTTAAGGGCAGCCCCGGACTGAATGGCATCCCATATCTGCACAGAAAATCCTATTTTATTCATTATTTAATTTTCAGGACACCACCTTTAATATGCATTTTCACAGATAGTTTACATCCACATTAATGAATTTGTGTCCAATAAATTCCCTTTTACCTCTTTGGCCTCTTTTTCCAGCAGGGCCTTCTTATCCGTGGCCCTAAAGGCATCAAGTGTGTTGGTGTTATACAGCGTACCAAGAGCTGGGCAACAACGAGCCGGAGTCGGACCATCACTGAAAACAAAAAGAAATGGACACTCTTTAAATAAAAAAAAATAAAAAAATCGAACTGGTTAAAAACAACGGACATGTTAACGATATAAGTCACAAGCCATACATGTGGGTCTTAGTCTAAGTAAGTTAAGACAGGTCACACCTTTGACTGATGTATGTTGTTTTAAATGCGCCTCTGTTTTCATGTGCATGTGAAGTTGGGTTGATAGTGAGCTATTTCTAGTGTTCTGCAGCAAAATGTTCCATATAACCAATTACCACCTGGTGGTGCATCCAAGCAGCCAGACTGTTACCAGCCAAATTCATCAGACATTGAAGCTTTCTTCACTTGATCTTTTAAGCATTCAGCATCTTGAGATAAGTTAAGTATCTAGATAATGCAGAGAGAGACTAGCTACTATTATTATAAGGTTAATGCTGTGATACTTTAAAAAGGTTTGTTTTGAGATGTTCCTCCAGCTATTAGTGTTAGTGCTTATTTCATTATAGACTTTTTTTTCCTAGCTTTTTTCATTACACTTTCACAAGTACACAGCAACGGAATGAACCTCCCCTTGGGGAGCAGTTGGCTGCCATTGCGTGGCGCCCGGGGAGCAGTGGGGGTTTAAGTGTCTTTTGCTCAAGGACCCAGAGTAAGCCTGTGGGAGTGGGGTTCGAATTCAGAACCTCAGGATTCCAAGCTCTATTCCCTTAACCACTGCCCCGCCACTATTTTTACAACTGTCTTTTTGATTATAGCTTAAATTTTGTGAGTGGTTTAGCCAGTCGTTTGCTAATATGTCTACACAAGTTTGGTAAACAACTTGTATGTTGTTTAGATAACTCACTGTCTTTATTCTTTTGCTGATATTTGAAGAACTGGCGGGGGGAGCTGACTTTTTATGATGCAGCACCAGGAATCTATCATGCTGCTGGAAGCATGGGGGGCTTGGCTATGGAGAAGGTACCAAAGACCTCTAAGCACTACAGACTGGAAAGAGTTATAATTAGTAATGTGTTGGCTTGAGTTGTCTATTTTGGGTTGTTTATGGTTGTTTTTCTTAGCAGTTCCCTCTTCCCTCCCCTGCTGGTTTGTTATAGGCTAGCCTCTGTGTGTAAAATCCCCAGTGAGTTCATTGTGAATAGGTCAGGGTTTTTTTTGTAAGCCTTAGTTAAGTTTGTCTTGGCTGACCTCATTTTCTTTGAGAACCTTTTTCCTGATTTGTTGAATTATTGGCTTTTTTAATTGATTGCCGTCACCGCTTGGTCCCTGAAAGAAACATTTGCTGTATAGAAAGTTTGTACCAAATGTGACACTAGAACATTTTTCTAGGGCACTATGTCATCCTACAAGATGTAAAGGAAAGGCTGAAATCTAGTAGTTGATGTGGTTATCAGAATAATTGTTTACCAATGTTTTTTTTTATATATATATATATATATATATATTTTTTTTTTTTTTTTTCATATTAACACTTGATTCTTGTACTTCTACAGCCATCTCTATGAAAAGTGGAAAATCAAGAGCATATAATGTCAGCTTTGAAATTTTAAAAGCAAAGTTTCAATGTTTCAATTTGTACATTAAAAGATTAATTTGTACAGAATAGGCACAGCAAATACAAATACAACCCTGATTGAGAAACCATACTGCAGTAACCTTATACGTAAACATGTCAAACCTCGTGTGCATGCTTGAATCTGTTTTTCCTCTCTACACCATATTTGAGGGATAATGAATTACAGGTGAGCCCCACTCATTGACTGACTGAGTGACAATGTATTTCCATATGTGTGTGAGCATGGGTGTGCATGTGTTTAAGGAGTTTTTTCTCAGGAAACTGATTACTTTCTGCCTCCTCAAGTGTGATTTGTACACTTATTTTTCTTCCACACCTGCACAATATTCTTCTCTCTCCATCTCCAGTTTACCACTCAAAGTGCCGTTGTGAATTATATGGGGTAGAGTGATGTTCCCTAAAGTGACAACCCAGATTTGGTGGAGAGTGGGGAACATGGCAATTTAGTTTTTTTACTGCCCTGCTATGAAGAACTTTATTATGACGATAATGTCATTCAGAAAACAAATACAGCTTTAATAGGCTAACATTTACTGTTGCTTTATAAAAACTGTCTTGCATGTATGTTCTAAAACATTGGGAAACATTTACAGAAAATTGCTGGAGATGAGAATCCATCGAGTTGAAGTGAATGTGGAGGTCATTACTGGGTATATTGATAACACAAGTGCCTGTGATCCCACTTGGAGACAGACGAGGCAATGTGTAGGTTAATATGGGGCACAGTTATGACTCAGCTATCAGACGAAGGGACAGAAAGCTCAACCACTCCATCAGCAAACAAAACACTGATAAAAAATGACATGTTTTAGCACCAGAGCCAAAACATCAAGAAAGACAACTCGCTAAAAGATTTTGACAATGAAGTACATCAGAATGGCCAACATTAGAGGAAAATGCCCCCATTTTCCCTCGGAATGGGAGGTTTGTGTTAAACCAAGCTGAAAGTAATGCAATTCCTCTTCAAAACAGGTTTTCATGTTTGAAAGATAACCAGGAAAATGACCCATCTGAGAAAAATAAGTAAAGATAATAGGAAAGATCAAGTGAGGGTATTAACATACTGTATTTAAACAAAGATATTTCTTGCATTCTTTTCATCTATGATATATGCTCCTAAATGATGTAACTGTTGTGTGACTACTTAGAGGTATTAAAGAGGATTTTTCTTAGAAATTAAGTGTCCAGATTCATCTAAAATGACTTAATTGATGGCATTCTTAATGGATGGCATTCCTGCACCCCCACCCCCCAAGAAAATTTAAATTGATAAACTCTGGCCATGGTGGGGCCTACAGAACATGAGCCAATCCACTTTGTCTATTTTTGAAATTAGGTTGGCTATTTGTTTGTCAATCAAAAATTTTGCACATGTGCCTCCATGATGTTATTTACGTAGGCTCCAAGCGTAACTCATACGCTGTTTGGCTAGCGTTTGCCGAAGCATGGAGAAGTACTCCTACACTTGTTTGCTACTGCGGCTTTTTTTGAGCTATTTGTTTACTCTTATGTATATTGGAAGATCAACGGCTGACAAGAATCTTGACAAACCTAACTGGAAAACAAAGCCTTTTCCGAAGCTAGGGTAATTAGCAAGACGGTTAGTATTAGGATCAAATTTTTCTGATGGTAAAAAAACAGACTTTATGTGGCGATTTTCTCATCATGGAATTTTACTTTGTTACAAATATGATGGATTCATTTTATTCCATAGACCCTTACGGACAAATGGAATCTAAGATTGGATTTATAATACAGCCTCAGGATCGCCTCAAAGTTTAGAAGTCAAAGCTTTACTTTTTAAAATTCTGATTTAACAAGCTGCTATATCTCTATTAATTGTGCTTTGGTGCTAATGGTGTCCATAAAATAAACTTGGTGGTTGAATTGTGGAGGATCTAAGCTTTCTTAGAATTTATAACATGTCTTTATTGGTAAAAGTTTAAAAGGTGTTATTTTCAAGGGTACTGCTGTAAATACACAAAACAAAGCACCGGTGGTATGCCGAGAATACCTGCTTGCCGAGAATTACCTCCCCTCTCGCACACTGATGAGAAAACGGCTTGTAATATGAACAAAAATGGGAACTATCTAACATATCTTTAATGTTTTCATATTTCTTATGCATGGATCCCCGAAAACAGAGAGTTTTGGTGAGGTGTTTCCAGCATAGAGAACTTTTGCGAAGGAGTCAGAACTGAAGCATGCACACAATTCTAAAATACAAAAACAGCTATCTTCCACCCCAGAATCCTCTTTTATGCCTTTAATTTGTGGAGCAACTGCTGAGCTGTTGATTGACAATAGAAAATAAGGTGTTTTCTCCGTAGATGCTCAACTGAATAATGTAGTAGTGTGCTTCATTTAGTGTCCAGGCTTTCCCTGCCCTTAAGATGACAGTGTCTTCAGAAGGTAAGAGTCAGCACAAAGTTTCCGTTAATATGGATTGAAACCAACAATCAGGCTCGAAATCTGGGTGTAGTAATGGACTCAGACCTTAACTTCAGAGGCACATAATTACAGTAACAAAGCCGGCCCTCTATTGCCTAAATAACATCTCCAGGGTTGAAGGACTAATATTTTAGCAGGATCTTGAAAAACTAATTCATGGTTTCATCTTCAGTAGAACTCATTATGGCAGTGTTGTATTTACCGGTCTGCCTAAAAAGTGGTTTAGACAGCTGCAGTTGGTCCAGAATGGCACTGCATGTGTCCTCAATAAAACAAAGGAAGTAGAGCCAATAACACAGGTCCAAAAAAGCCTTATAGTGGCTCGATCAGAAAATGAAATAATTTTGTTAGCCTATACATCGCTCAATGACTAATCGACTCTGTAAACCTAGAAGCAGAACAAAACATAGAGATGAAGTCTATAGTTACTATGATCCACAAATCTGTTAGAAACTTCAAGAAAGCTGTAAAAGGGCTAAAGCCTTTGCTACAAATTAAGATTAAAAATGCATTTGTTTAGAGGCCATTAACTGTCTAATCTAAACATTATTGATTAAATTTGCAGTCTAACTTACATTCAAATTTCTTAATCATTTTCTTATCTTTTTTATATATACATGATCCTCTTATTTGAAAGTTTCACTTTTATTCTCTTCTTTTATTTTTGTTTTGCCTCTGTGCCAACGCAATTTATTTTTCTTGTTTTCCCTCAGGTAGAAAGAGAAATGTGCTATATAAATAAACTTGCCTTGCCTTGTGCAGAAGGTGTGTTGAGCCCTACTACACATGGAGACTCTTGAATTACCCAGCATGACAAGTAAGCAGTTCAGCTGTTGCTGATAAGGAAGTGAAGGTGAAACACAGCAACTTGGAATCGGTGGAAAGGCACCTGCATGTCCGGGCGCTGTTGCTGGAACATATGGCCTTTGGTTCACTTATTTTAAGTGGAAAAAACTAAACTGACTCTAACTTCCTGACCTTACAGCATAAAACTTTTCCTATATAATGGTTTACAAATCCACAGACAATCGTCTAACAAAGCAAACTAAAAGGGAAAGTGCAGCAACTGTGTCAACTAGACGTGGGGCTTTGATGGTGGCTCCTGGGAGCAGCAGGAAGAGAATCTCATTTTCAAGACAAGCCAATGTTTCATCAAGGTCAAGACTGTTGGTATATAACATGTATTTACCTGGAACACTATATATACACTGACAATTTTAAGTCCACATAAGCCATACTCCTGCCACTGCTTTGAACTCAGATAAAAGTAGAATTGCTTTAATAACAGAATGAAAACACACACATTGTGCGTACATTGATATGGATGTGTTTTTAGCTTAAATAGGCATAATGATATACATGATCTATTTAAATAAAAAAAACATAAAAAAATATGTTTTTTATTCCAAAACCAATAAAAATAAAGCCTCCTGCAGGCAAAAAAATGTTTTCTTTCAAGGTAAAGACATTTAGGAGAGGGGATCTATTTCAGAATAATTTTATTCATAATTGAGAAACTCATGTTTATCCTGTTGGAGAACATTTGGACAAAAACTTAAAGGAGGACCATTTAATCTGTTTAGAAATCAAACTTTACAGCTTCTTTTAGCTGCTATAGATATATTGTACAGATCAAGAAGTTAGTTCATTTTATTTACCCTTGTATGTTCTGCTACAGAATGCACACATTTTGAAATGGCATTTATGTATAACGAGATTTCATTAAAAGTACAATTATGTTTGAATAGTGAAGAATTTGTCTTTTTTTCATTTGGCGAACAGATTACAGAAATACCTGTAAGAAATATTAAGCACTGCATCTAGAAAAGCCATTAAAGAAAATGCCCTAGGGCAATAGTTCATAAACTTTTTTAATCTGGCTCTGCTTTGGTTGAAAATGAAAATGTTCAAAACCCCAGAATAAATAGAACCACACCCCTAAACAACCTTCTCAACAACGTAACACAGAAAAGTTAACTACAGTCTATTAGGGCAATAGGATAACTAAAACGAGAATAATATACAATCTTCTTATGAATAAAAAACCTACAATTTTTTAAAGTGTAATTACTTCAAATAAAATTTTTTATTTGTACTATTTGCTATCAATACATTTTTAAATTGCTCTTTATTTAATTCTACTACCATGCCTCCTTGCCCCTCCACTTTTACTCCAAACAGAAATGCTCCATATAGCAGACTGAAAAAATGTACAACCTGTCTATTAATTACACAAAGTAAATCTCTTTTGAATTAAGCTTAGAGTAAACAACCAACGGAAATAAAAAATAAATTTGAAAAAGCCTGCTTTTGTTTTTTCAAACCACTTACTATAGTGGTCAGTATTGGCATGGATGTTGCGACATGATGTGTGTCACAACACTTGGGTCACAATAGGATATTGTCACAATATTGCAATATCACTATATATAGTGATATTTTTTCACTATATATAGTGATATTGCATGATGCGTGTCACAATAGGATATTGTCACAATATTGCAATATCACTATATATAGTGATATTTTTTCCCCCAGCTATCAAATTTAAACCAGATATGCATCTCACCATCTATTGTACTGGAAATATCCTGTAAGATAAAGGAGTGTAAATCTCTCTATTTGATTAGTTTATCCAATCAGTTCATGTCTTTGTTGGTTTGTTGGTGGGACCCGATCAGAACATTTTGTTCCCCAGGTAAATGTGTCCTTTATATGGCTTGTGACAAGCTGCAAATAATGTATTATTAAACAAGAAAAATGGCTTTCCTTTTGACATATCATCTTTTTAATTTTTTAGGATTTCTAATAAGACAATAAAACAATAAAATACTTTCCCACTGACCAAATAAAATGCCAGATCTTTCAAAAACAAACTGTATGATACTTACACATCAAATGCACTGAACTCCAAAGTCAAACGAGTGGGCAAGCCAACAGGGTCACCTGTTGGGTTAAATTGGGGAGGAAATTTTATCTCAGTAAACAGCCTTTACTTATCATTAGAAGTGCTGTAGTTTGGCACACCACACCACACCATCAGATATCTAACCTACCATTGTAATAGTATCCTTTGATACACTTGGGGCTCTCATCCAGTCTATAATCATTGAGCTTCTTCTGGGTGAGCTGGTGCCAAAAACCTGCCTCCAAAGCACTGCTGAAGGGTGCAAACTGCAGCTTGAGGTCTGAGGAGGAGGACGCTCCGCTGGTGTCAGACGCCATCAGAACTTCTATGGAAAAACTTCAACAAAAACTAAAATGAAGGACAAAAAGGCAGAAAACATGAAATGGTTATCAAGAACTGAGAGTGGTAAAAATGAAGCAACAACATCAGATAACATTTGATCATTTTACTTGGGCTTGATACAGTTTTTATTTTACAATGTAGAATATTTTCTAGTTAAAGAGAGTTAAAAGAAAAAAAACTGAAATACAAGCAATTATTCTGTTTATTACTTTGGATTTCCATTAGGCATCAGTCAAATTAAGTTCCAAATGGCAACTTTTCAGATTAGTTTAATTTTTTCAAAACAGAAATTTTAACATTAATCAATGTACGGTTATGACACAATGTCTTTATCTTTTCTTTTAGTTTTGGCAACATGGATTTTTCCTATAGGCCAGACTTGACTTGATCTGACCAATCAGCAATCAAGTTTTAAAGGAAGGCTTTAGGTTGCTAAAAGTTACTAGTTTTACTGTTTGAAAGGAGAACAGAGGAGATCACCAGAGTGAACCAAATTAAAAGTTTATTGAGCTGAGGAAAAAAAGTTACAGAATTATGCAGCAGTAGAGGAAGAACAAACAGATGGAAGTCAATTATAAAAGTTCTGTGAGCCACAAAGCAGCATGGTTGTTTTCTAACAGTTGAACCAAAAAAAAAACTATTGACAGACAATCCATTCCAGAACCTGTATGTAATCTCCAACACTGTGTGAGACACAGACAGCCTAAAAGTAAGATTTCCTATTTTTAAAAAAAAGGAACAATATGAACACTGTAAGAAATGTGGTTTAGAGGATTTCTTCCTTTTTAAATCCCTAAAATTTCCACCTGTCAATATGTCAAAAACAAAGATCTGGTCTTGTAGCTTCACATCCATGTTACAAATCTCTCCACCTTATTCAAAAGGGGTTTGACTGGCTTCAGATCTGGTGAATGTGGAGGCTTTTGGAGCTCAGTGAAATCCCTTTCATGTTATAGAAACTAGTTGAGCTTTTGGATATGGTGCCTTTACCTCATGGATATAAACAAAAGATGATATACTGATGATATACACAAGAGATAAACATGGTTAGCAAAATACTAAGGTGGGCTGTGGTGTTGAATCAATCTTTAGTTGGACCACTTTGGAAAATCATTTAAAGCACAGCACTCATCTTATCATTGTTGCCAAGTTTTGGTGAGTTGCTATTGGGATTTGCGTGTTCTTAGCTCACAGGAGTGGTACCCAGTGTTTTCTTCTGCTGCTAAGGCTCATCTGTTTTAAGGCCTCAGGTGTTTTCATAGATATATGCCTCGGTTATGAAAGTTGGTTATTTGGGCCACTGCTTCATTTATACTCCTTTAGTCAGCCTGCCCTTTCCCACCTGTTCTCTAAGGCTGGGTATCAATTCAAATTTCAATAAATTAAGACTTAATTATAATAAAATAAGACTTAATTATACTTCTTAAGATTTAAAATCTATTTATTTTTTATCCGACCCAAGTCGATCAGATCTCAAATCGGATTGCTGATGTAAAAAACATTTTTTAGCCGTTACCTGAATGTAAAATCCTAGTAGGTCAGATGTTTGTTTTGAGTTTCCATGTCATTAATAATAGTAATTCTTTAGCAGAGACAGGTTGAATGTTTGGAGATGATAGAAAATGGACTGAGCTAAAATACAGGGCAGTTTTGGAAAAAAAAAATGCAGAGATCTGAGGTTAATTCTCCAGCAAATCACTCTGCAACATATCTGACTGACCTGCATATTTTCACATAAAAGAATGGGCTAATATCTACAGTCTATACACACTCTAAAGTAACTAGATCTTACTGATTTTAGAAGGTGGTTCTTATGTACAAATTATTGACTCAGAGGCAGTGAACACATACCCACCACACTTATCAGATTATTGTGCAATAACGTAGTTTAAAATACATGGAATATTCCCCTTCACAATAATGGAGTACTTTGTGTTGGTTTATGGGATAAAATCTAAATAGAATATGATAAAGTTTCTGACTTAATTCTGACAAAATTATGAATAGTTTTGCAGAGCATGATTTTAGCAGCTGCAGCTTAAACGGTTGACTCGAACAGAGTAAAATATTGAGAGCGACTTTTTGAGAACAAACTATTATAAGAAGCCGAATGATTCAGAATTGCTTTAGCCCAAAAAGACAGGTTTTAAGTACCAAACTGCTCCTGTGTTCCTGCACTCACCCTCAGCTGCTACTTCCTGTTGCAGGTGGTCATGTGACGGGAGGACTTGTCAATAAAGCACGGCATCGTGGGTAATGGCTAAACGTCAACTTTTAGCATAGCTCTTTGCTTCCTCAATGTTTTACGGCGCAAGAACCATGGAGTAAAAGATGAAAAACCAAAACAAGAAGAGAAACACGCAAACTATTAAGCAGGAGAAAACCGATAGGAATCTGTACGCACCGTTCCTTTTCATCTCGGTCTGCGAAATAAGACAAATTTGTATGACTGGTTGCTAGGAGCCACTCACTTTGCTGCGTGTCGTAAATTAATATCCTATGGGGAAGTATCACAAAAACACAATAGCCATAAAAGTGATATACTATCTAGACTTGATGCAAGCGCGAAATATACCTATCAATCTCAAGAGAACCAGTGTGGTCACCAGATAGTAAAGAAATCCTTTCAGACATGGGGAGTGTGACAACAAGTTAGGGACCGTCTCCAAATGATTCTGCTTAGGAAAAACGCACAGGCTAGGGTTTTAGGAAAAATAAAAGATCACGTGACCACATTAAGGAGCTTTTTAAATAAACTTCTCACATTTAGGTTTGACATTTATATATATATATAGATATATCTATATATAGATATATATATAGATATATCTATATATATATATATATCTATATATATATAGATATATATATATAGATATATATATGAAGATGTTGGTAAAATGGTATTATAGTTTTAGAATTTGCTTTTAAAAGACATTGAAATATTTTTTCCGGTATACAGTATTCTAAAATTAAATATATACTTTTGTTAGTTTTTTTTAAGGTTTTTTATTTTTCTGTTTTTGGTTTTTGATTTGGCTCATGGTCAAACATTCTCATGACTTTCAGAGATGGGCTCATATAATCTTTAATATATAATAGAGATTTTTATTTTTTTATTAATGGTATTGACATATTTGTCCCATCATGCTGTGTGTGTGTCCAAACAGAATTCATTACACTGACATCCTAAAATCAGTGTAAAAAAAGTCTTCCTCATTCCACAAGACAGGTTTTGCCTTTGTGTTATGAAGACGTTTGTCTAAATAGGGAGTGGAGAGTTCCTGTCATTTTGTATTGTTAACAGGGAATTTAAAATGAAGCTAAAAGGATTAATATCTGATTGAATCAGAAGGAAAAATGAAAAGAAATGATAAGTGACATTATCCCTTTAATGAACATTTAGAAAGAGAAGAACATTTATGTATGGGGTATTGAATTACACACTTGACTGATTCATCTTGGAATTTTAGTTACATTAGGAAATGGAAAAAAATCATTTACTCATGCAAACCTGTCATTTTTAAGTCATGTTTTCATTAGGTATAATTCATGTAAAATGTTGCAGGTGTGAAGTATAACTTGTCATGAAAATGTTGACCTTTTAAGCCCATTGGGACTAACATTTGCACCATGCTGTCATTGTTGTCAGGAAGCGATGACAGGAAGCTGTAGTACTTAATAAATGTCAAAAACAGGTTAGGTCATTTTCCATTTCACATTTTCCACATTCCTGTAATAAATGTGATCTATATAAAAGCAAAATACTTTCTTTACCAGTTCAAAAATATTTTCTTCTCCAGTCAAGTTAACTCAATAAAACTGTTGTAAAAAAGTAATTTGAGTAGATATGGTGTAAACTGAGTGCAAAAGACATTAAAAGTTATAATACCTACTAAAATCTATCATTAACTGGAAAGCAATCCTGCTATTTGATTGGAAATGAAGGGTGTGTCTTTACTAACCTGCCACATAGCACATACCTCATGATGACAGAAGACACAGACAAACATGTGCTTTGGAGTTGCCTCATATTTGCTCTAGGAGATGATGCACCTTTTACAAGTCTAACACAGGGGCCTGCTGTGTAATTATTGCTCCATAATAAGATTCATTATTTAAAAGATTCATTAAGAATGTATGGCCAATGCTCTTAAGATTTTATGATAAGCCTGCAATCAAGTTCTCACCTGAGACAATAAGAAAATATAAATATCTTATGTATGCATGATATTGTATTCTGTATGCTAGAATTGTTCAAACCTTGCTTGCAGGAGCATCTCTGTGAGAATTACAAGATAAAAACACATTATGGAAATCACACCATCATAGCTGCTGTTCCCTCAGGGTTGTGCAAAAATATATATGTTAGACTTCAGGTAATGATTAGGGGAAAGTTCAACGTAACATAATATAAAAGGAAATTGATGTAGGATCCCAGCAGAGAAAAACAAAAGCTTTTTTCATAAAGATATGTTTGCTTAAAATGTACTTCTTTTTAGTCAGAAGGATTTTGCCATCAGATTTTCCTAAAAATTTAATCTTTAAGAATTTCAAAGTGACATTTTGTTCTATAATATAATTTATATATATATATATATATATATATATATATAATTTACTGTAATCTAGATGATAGTAGTAAACACACACCAAAGCCCACAAGCTAAGTACAGTACTGATTATTTTACCCTTCATTGAAAAACATGGTTTAAAGTGAAAAGATTTGGTTTAATTTTTTTTTTTTTTTTTATGATCGCATTATAAAAGAAATAATTCAATAGCTGTACTTTTTTTTTAATCATCATATAGCCCACTGCATCTTCTTTCATTATCTGTTTAAATCTACTGAGAGGCACCTGTTCCTAGCTAATTTATGGTCAAATTATGTTCTTTCCACTTCTGGATTATGCCTTCTGGATTATTAGAAAACTCATAGGTTTAGAAAAAGCAGCTTTGAAAATTGTCATTGGTATGTTTTTAAATTCAAATTCAGAAATATTTTTTTAAACCCAAAAGGAAGTATAATATCATGGTAGCTCATATGATTCAGGTTTCTACAAAACTGGAAATATCTCCGGTTGCCATTGGTCTTTCAGTCGCTCTTAAGCAGCCTCTGACTGAAAACACACTGCTGTTGACAGTCAGATGCTTTTATTATCGTATTCTACAACTCTGCACAATATGTTGGTAAAGATAAACTGTGCCACTGGCTATGAGTTAATATTATAGTTGAATCCATAATTTTATTTGTGGACTGATGCTTTGATCACTATTGCTTTGTAGATTACTTAGGTTGTTTTCAACATCGGACGTGAATATTATGCTGCAAATTTAGAAAAAAAAAAAACTGGTTTATAACTTCTTTTTATGATCAATGATATTTCTGAGCTGACATTACATCTGTTTAATTTCAAAGACAAAAAAAAAATGAAAGGGAAACTTATGTTTCAAATTTTGATTTATTGATGAGAGAATCATGTGAAAAATCACAGAATTACCCACCAATGGATGACTCTCTTTATAATCAAGTGATAGACGTTGTGCTGTTTCATGTTACTCACATTGAACAACTGTAAGACATGAAATACATAAATACAATTTCTATGTAAACAATTTAACATAGCATTCGTTAAAAAATACAATTCTGTTTGCTGTCAGCATTAAGACCGTTCTCTGGACAATAAATGAAATCTATGACATTAGAAATCAAAGCAGAGTTGCTACCCTCTTCCATCTAGGGTGTGATTGACATATTGTATAAGCCTAGAACTATAGGTCTTACTTTAAAAAAAAAGAAAGAAAAAAATAAGGGATGCTGTACAGAGTTCCTATCAGCCTTTTAATACTCTCTACAACCTTATTTGTATCCCTGGTGAAGATGTACCAAAGCTCTCAAAGTAAATGTGTTTAAGATTACAGTTGTACAATTTGATGGATATTTTTATACAGGTATCCATAGAATACCCATACATGCTCTAGAGATAATGGGGACTATTGGCCTAGTGGGTTAGAGCAGTGCACTTGTGCTCTGAGAAGGTTTCAAGTACCCGGTTTGATCCCCACAGCCTCCACTCTGGGTTCCTGAGCAAAACCCTTAACCCCACACGGCTCACCGGGCACCACACAATGGCAGCCCATTGCTGCCCAAGGAGAAGGGTCAAATTGAAAGTATTTTGACCTGTATTTTCACTCTCTACATTGTGGGACAATAAAGGGATTTACATTCACACACATTTTACATAATGTATACTGTACCACTACAATGCAGCCTGCCCCCCAACTGTTATAAAAAAAGCATTCTTGATATTTTTTATTTATCTTAAGAAACCTCAAATGTCCTATTACCCCAACAAATAATCATGACATAAAGGCTTATTTCTAATGGCTAGTCTTCAATAAAAAAAATAAATAAAAACAACAACTATATTCTATTCAAGTGAGAAAAAAAAATATTATTCCACATAAGATAAGGCATTTCAAGAAATTAGCTAATGGCATTAGTTTTTTAATATTAAAAACAACGATGGATGAAGATCCAAGTTTATCCTGCCACCCCTTGCAGTGAGAATGATAAAAATATGCAAACATCTACTGTAGCAAAGACTGGCATCTTGGGGTCACTGATTCTGAATGACCCTTAGACACTATCTACTCTAAAGCTATTTGTCTACATGACATTCAATTCCATAATACTTTATTAATCCCAAAGGGAAATTAAATGTTACAGTAACTTACAAAAGAAAATATCAGGGGTAAGGTAGCAGAGCTACTCCAACATGTAGCCACCTTTAGCAGCGCAATTCAAGAAATGCAAGGAAAAGTAATGTCTTTCATCCCGCCATTACCGGTGTAAATGTGTAGGCTGTTAAATGCTTCACAGACAGCTAACAAAAAGCTCTAAAGCAGAGTTAAGAGCAAAGCAAATCTCTGCATTTGTGAAATAATTACAAACTCAAAGGTTAATTTGGAGCTTTTATGAGTAATGTTTTCTAAACATCTAGACCAGCAACACCTCTCAATTGAATGGTTCTTTAGAGAGTGGCCTATTTGAAATACCGGTAGGTTGGTAAAACAGAAAGTGTTAAGTATGGATGTCCAGGGTAACTCAGTGCAAGTCCAGGGCTGTGTTCGAACGTCCGCCCCTAACTCCTGAACCCCTCAATCACTATATAGAGAGGCAACTATATAGTGGACTTTATAGTGCACTCTGTTAAATGACCGTTCAGAGACATGACCACTACTGCTTGCTCCCCGTTGACCAGATGACTCTGGCACCCTTCACGGTGCTTGCGCAATCTTTGTTCTCTCTCATACCCAGAACATTCCCATGATGCTTTGCGAGGAGAGCTCTTTCAAAGTATTCTGGGATATAGCTGGTAGTCTAGGACCATCTATGAATACTTCTTTTCAAGGTTTATTGTGGGAAATTTTGAGGCCACTACTTTTACATCCACTAGACATTCGGACACTCATAAAAATTTGTGTAACGCCTATATAGGGCGGATATTCAGACACAGCCAAGAAGTGTTTAATATAATCTTCTTTTTGTTTCTCCCAACTGAGACAAGCTTTAAATTGGTCTACTGAAAGATATACTCTTTATTGGTGATAGTAACCCATTACCAACTCCCTTTGAGTAAATCCAAACTATACCCTTAAGAGTTTAACAATGAACTCACACTTGATCCTTCAAAGGAACATAAAGGCAGTAAAAAATCAGCCTGATGAGCATTTCCAGGATTAAGGATCTAATGTCTCAGCAGTATTTAACAAAACTCATCAATGCATTTATCTTTGATTGATTTCTTAAGGAAATCCTAACTGGTTGCTTAATAAGTTAAACAGACAGCTCCAGTTCAGTTCAATTCAATACAATTCAGTTTATTTACACTGCTCCAAAAAACAAAGGGAACACAATTTAACTTTAATCAAACTGTACCCTTAGGATTCAACACATCCAAAGATTGGGGGTTGTGCTTACAGCCCAACAAATGCAGGATGCTTGGCATTTGTTGAGGAACACCAATGTGTGCAAATTCACCACTGGTGCCCTGTGCTCTTCTTAGCAGGCTCACACTGACCACATGTGACAGACGTGACCAGTCTGGAGACACTGTGGAGGGCGATCTGCTGCCTACAACATCTTTCAGCACGACTGGTGTGGCAGTAGGTCATTAATGGTGTAGGGTGGCATTTCTTTAGAGGGCCACATGGCCCTCCATGTGCTCACCAGAGGTAGCATGAGTAGTATTAGGCTCCAAAATGAGGTCTTAAGATCCCTTGTGAGACTGTATGCGTTTGTGGTAGGCCCTGGATGTCTCCTAATGCAGGCAAATGCTAGACCTAATGTGACTGGAGTGTGTCAGCAGTTCTTCTTAGATGAAGGCATTGAAGCTATGAACGTTGGGCACATGGTGGCCACACACCATATTGAGCATAATTTTGAACTGTTTTAAAGACATTCAATTAAGGTTGGATCAGCCTGTAGTGTTTTTCTGCTTTTATTTTGTGTGATTTAAAATCCAGGCCTACATTGGTTAACAAATTTGATTTCCATTGATGATTTTTGTTTGACTTTATTGTCAGCACATTAAACATTGTAAAGAACAGTAAGCCATAAAATAGAATATTTAAAAAGAAGATTTTATTCATTCAGATCTAGGATGTGTTATTTAAGTGTTACCTTTATTTGTTTTAGCAGCATACAGTTAATAGTATCAATTAACAACACGTCATCTCAAGGCACTTTACAGAGACAATTCAACCAGATCATACAGTCAGACTGGTTAAAAGTTTTCTATCAAAAGAAAACCAGCTGATTGCATCGCCTCATTAACTCGACAACAATGGTGACTCATTAAATTGACTCTGCAATCCCTCAAACCAAGCATGTATGTAGCGACACTGGAGAGGAAAAATCCCTTTGAACAGAAAGAAACCTTCAGCAGAACCAGGCTCAGTGTGAGCAGCCATCTGCCCAGGCTGACTGAGGTTCAAGGAGACACAAGCAGACATACAGAAAGATGCAAAGATACAAAAGGTATTAAGCAACTCCATACAGGTAGTCATTGTAAGAAAAAAGAGCTACATTGAAAAAAAGGTCAAGCTCCTACATCTAGAAACAAAGGAGTTGATGTCCACAGCACAGCTGATATTTCTCTCCAGGATGGAGTCACAGCCAAACAGGAACAGACCATATGAAGCTACTATTAGGAGAAAAACAGAGAGTATTAAGTTAGAGGCTGGAAAATACTGCAGAATGGGAGAATAGAGATAGAATGAAGCAGAATTGTAATAAGGGGTCCCTATGTCCTCCAGCTGTCTAAGCCTATAGCAGCATATCCAGAGAGATAACTCAGTGTAAGCTTAGCCATTGTAAGCTTTTTTTTTTTTTAAAGGAAAGGTTTGAAGCCTAGTCATAAAAGTAGACAGGGTGTCTGCCTAAAGGATCTAAGAGAACTAAATGATCTGTCTCCCATTGTACTTAATTAGTACAACTACTTAATTCTAGGAATCAGTAGTAAACCTGTAGATTGATAGTGAAGTGCTCTGTTAAGAACATATGGTACAATAAGATCTTTGATATAAAACGGAACTTGTTCATTAAAGGCTTTATTTGTGAGAAGGAGTATTATTCATTCTATTCTAGGTCTGACAGGAAACCAATGAAGAGAAGCTAAAGATTAGATTTTGTTGCTCTGTAATTTGGACGAAGGAAACTAAGTGTTAAATGTTTAAAATAATTGTACTTATTTACTGACTTCAAAATAATCAGTAAGTCAGACTGAGAGATTGTTACTACTCCTCCTTCTCTTCAGAAGTTCTGGGTATATGAAAATGTAAATATCTAGAGGGAGTGGCCTCATTTAAGCTGACATATTCCTCTTGCTGCGGCCTCAGTCACTGGCTCTGATGGTGAGATTGTTGTTTTATTTGGCCAAAGGTTCATTTGAGTTTTGTTTATCTGACTGTGTTCATTATTATTCCCCCACTAAATGAAAAAAGTAGGAATTTATACTTAGAGACTATTAATAACAGGAGGTGAAATGCAGTTTCAGACAAGCTGAGCACGTGGTGATGCCACAACTAAGCCTCTGTCCGTTCTTCCTGAGTCCATACATTCCTGTGTTCTTGTCAAGAACATACTTTGCAAGAACAAGAGTCCGACTTTGCGTTCTTGTAAATTGAGAAACAACCAATGTCTGGATAATGTAATGAGATGGTAACAGTAGAGAAGCTGCAGAGAGGTTTGTTAAACTTCAGTGTTGCTTCCTGGTCTGCACCCTTGGCTGTCAGGGTATTCGAGGACAAATTTGGCCAGATTCCTAGAAAGAATAGCTGCACCATCCAAAGTGTGCCTGTTCTGGCCCCCGGCACATTATGGTCCCTGCTGTATCTACTGCCACGTTTCTGACCATGAAACTGCCAGTTACCAGATTGGGCTTCCCAGTGGGTTCGTCACTTAGCGCGGAAAATTGGTTAGAAACATGGACAGGTTGGTGGTGACCATCTGGCAGAGATCTACAACTACTTTCTCTGTGTACCTTCACCAAGTCATCTCGCTGCTTAGAAACTGTTGGAGGACCACTATGTGGACATGTCCCTGGTCTTGGTATTTCCGGGCTGTTAACAATGGGGCCTACTCTATATCAAGGATGTTCTGCAGCTCTAAGCCAGAACTCCAAGTCTGGCACCCTCGCCTCCAAAGCTACAAAAATACAACACTTATTACATATACAGTTTTCACTAAAAGAGGTAGAGGAATAACTGAACATCTGACATAGAGAGCAGGAGAGAGGAGAGGAAGAAGAAAGATTAGAAAAGGGTCAGGGGAGAGAGAGAGAAGCCATAGCAGTGCTAAGCTGGCATTAGCCTAGGATAGCTGCCCCTTACTACTAGAAGTAAAAACCTTGTTAACGCCACAAGTTCTCAGTAGAAAAGTGCAGCAGTGTTTAAAATTGCTTCTGGGCAGTTATAATAAATTGGATTTCACAGAAAAGAACACTTGGCTCAGGCGGAGATAGCCTGAGCAGCACCACAGAATGTAGATCAGCAATTAAAACAGGAAGTGAACGCCATTCCTCTCACCACAATTGATACTGATTGCTACTGAGGGGATCTTTACGAACACTAAGAAAGTAGAGAACACCACTCTAGTTCTAAAGTTTGACTTCTTTTATAAAAAAAACAAAAAAAAAAAGTCTGTAAAGGTGCTGATGTTTTTTAAATTAAGACAAAAAAATATGTTCTTGCAGTTAACTGTTGTATCTAAACTGTTAAATGAAAGATCATTAGTTTTACTTTGCAGACCCACTTTCCCCATTATGCCCCTGCAATGTACTTTTGTGTTTTATTCATCATGTTCTGTTCATGTTCAAGACTTGAATTAAAATGTGCAATACTTAAATACTTGCCTTAAGAATGAAAACCTTTATGTCTAGACACAATGTATCAGTTTCAGTCTGATAAACGCATAAAATAATTATTTATTTGTTCAGTAAAAAAAAAATAAAATGTAAAACATATGGGAGAAAAAAACATGCCACCTCAAATATGCAGTAACTTTATCAACATTTTTCAAAATCCAAGATCATTGGTAATTTCTTGTATGATCTCTATAATTAACGATTAAACAGCTCTGAACTTGTTTGATTCTATACTTGTCTCTTGACATATCATTCACCAATTAATCTTAAGAATATTTTTGAAGACACGTTTAAAGTTACCATTGCAGAGTGGGTATATGAAAGGATTTAGAGTAGAGTTGATGTAACCAAGCCAGATGGTGAACATATGAAGGTCGTCATGGACGCACTCTGGACAAAAAGCCATGACCATGAACACAATAAAGTAAGGGATCCAACATAATAAGAAGGCAGCAATTATGAATCCTAACTGCTTGGCAGCTTTGTGCTCTTTATGGATTCTCAGACTTTGAATCCGATGTCGTGACTGGTCTATAAACCTATGCCATGCCTGTTTCAGAGTCACTCCATCCTCTGGGTCTATCCTGGCATCCTCAACCCCTTCCTCAGGCCATGGAAGAGCCTGGCTCGGGTCAAAGCTGTTGCAGAGAACATTTGTGTACCTTTGCACATCTGACACTGGACTGATACCGCAGACACCGCTCAGAGAGTTTGTCACAGTGACGTGGCATTCATTGAGAGAGGCTTGATGCTTGATATCATTATTTCCAACTGAACATGTCGTATCCCGTGGCACAGACGGCCGGTTCAGGGGAATCTCTGAGTCTGGCTGCTTCTCTTCTGGAGGCAGTGAACCAGTTTTAGCCTTGCGTGCTATTCTGAGGTGTTTTGTTGTCATGGAAAGCAGTGACGTCTGTTGGCAATTCACACCTATTTTTCTGTTAGTTCTAAATGAAGCAGCTTTAGTTCTCTCACCATCTTCAAGGGAATATCTCTGGTCAAGAGTGTTTCGGTCCAGATGTCTGTCTTTTTTGGATTGTTTCAGGGAGGCCTCTGTCTCGCTCTGGGGTGATTTGGAGTCATATCTTTTAGGGCTTGGCGCATTGCCTCCATTCTCATTTTCCCCAAATGAATCTGCTGGATGAATAATTCTCTCTCTGTCTCTTAGATGCTGCCTCACAGCCAGATAAATATGTGTATAAAACCACAGCATCAAAATTGAGGGGACATAAAAGTTGAAAACCGCTGTTATAACTTTAAACCATGTTACGAAGCGAAAGTCTGTGTCACATTTGTTCTCCTCCTCAGGTTTAAGGTCCACATGTGTGAAAGACCTCCATCCTAAAATGGGAATAATCCACATCATTGAGAGTAACCAGGCTCCAGATATCATCAAGCTGGCTTTTCCGCGTGTTCGATACTTGAGGTATTTCAAAGGCTGCCTCACTGAGCGGTACCGATCCAAACACAGGATAAACAAGCTAAAGATTGAAGCTGTACTGGCCACATAGTCCATGATTAGCCAAAACTGGCACACTGCACGTCCCAGCCTCCACTCATCTTCAAGCAGATACATTAAGTTCAGAGGCATTACTGTCGTCCCCACGATAAGATCAGCCACCGATAGGCTAACAATGTACAGGTTCCCCACAGTGTGGAGAGTCTTTTCTCTCTTCACTGCATAGAGGACAAGTAGGTTCATTATGATGGTGAGGAGAGAGAGAAGGCCCAGAGATACTCCAAGGAGTGCACTATGGAAGTGGAAATGGAGGCTCTGGGTTTGGTTATGCCTCAGGTTGCCACCATGTGGGTCATTGCTCCAGCTCTTGTTGCTGTGGTTGCCATAGTTGTTAGGGATCAGTTCTAGGGAATCCGTAAAAAGCGATACACTAGATTCCATCATGTTAAGTGAAAAGAATTCCTCTTTATCCAGTCACATTCAGGACAACTTTTAGTTGTTTGATCAGAACAGTGATGTATTTTATTGATCCTGTCCCTGACAGCACTCTGACTTGTAGAACAGCAGCCCATCTTGAGTATTGATCAGTATTCCTTATGTCGGTTGGCCCATCTTGTTGAAAATCCAGGCATCTGTAACACATAAAACAGGACAGATGAACCTTCTGACAACTCGTGAATTTTGAGAAACAAGCTGATGTAACCAAGCCTAATGGTGTATAAGTCAGAAAGAAAGTGAAGAAGTACAAATTTATGAAAATACAAGTAACAGGCCTGGAAAGGACAGCATGAATTAGAGAAACAGCCGAAGGACCCATGGTTACTATGGAGGCATTACACAGAATCACAGCTCAGGTGGGAGAATCCAATGTCATGACTCTTACATCGGGCGACACATGGAATATGTCACTGCTGAAGTGCAGCTGCAGAGCAGGTGTGCTGCTAAAAATCACTCACCCTGAGGCTATGGCCAGGCTGGCCAAGTAGTGGCTCCAGGCACAGAAAGTACGCTAAGTTCACATGTTTTTACGCTCTTCCCAGCAGTTCTTGAGCAAAACTCTCAATCGGTGCTCATAAAATCCCTGTATATCCTGTTTCACCATGTTTCTGTTATGCCCTTTCTGTTTCGCTAGTCAGTTTGGTGCAGATTTGTGAGTTGATTTTATTTTGAAATTTGCCATTGTTTTTTCATTAGTTTTTTTTTTTTGTGTGTGTCAGGTAACTTTTGGAGCTTGATCCAGAGTCCGCTGCAGGTTTAGGCTAAACTTCATTGTTGTGGAATGACTTATAAACTACCTAGGTCACTGCACCGGCACTGTGGCTGTGAGTGCACATATTGATTTTAATGATCTGGTTTCCTTGTGGTGCCCACTCCCCAGCTGAGTTTCACAGTGTGAGCCCGGCGTTAGCCATGCAATGGATAACTCAATTCTTTGAAAAAGAATGGCAAGAAAGAAGACACAAGAAATTTCAAAGTCCTGTTTCCAGTTTACCAGGAAACACAGTCAGCATTTGAAAGAAATGCTCTGGTTTCATAACACCACAGTTTCCCTGTTCAGTCTGAATACAAGTCTCCTAAAAATAATGCTAATGTTACAATACTTTTTTACAACAAAGAGAAGAAAGCTGGTCAGAGTTGATGGAATATGGATAGTATATAATACAGCGCAGATCTGGAAGAATACATGTTAGAGGTTACTAAGAATTTGCTGGAGGTTGTTTTCTAGAAGATCTGCAAATGTAAACATTCAGACAGGGCTTATTTCAGATCTAATTGTATTCATGTATTAGAATGGCTGAGTAAAAGTCCACACCTAAGTCTGTGGTAAGACTTAGAACAAATGTCATTTACACTCTTGCAATCTAAGTCAGTCTGAGCTATTTTGATAAAGAACTGTGTTTAATTCAGGCTGATTGAGACATATCACAAGGAACTTACAGCTATAATTGCAGCAAAATTATTGACTCAGCAAGGTTGATTAGGGATGCAACTCTCACATGGTGAAAAACACTGTACCCTTTTTTCTTAAATGTCACAGTTATGAGGTTCTTTGTGTTTGATGTTCAAAGTGTGTTTGTATTTTTAAATTGACAAAATATTTTTTTAAATGTATAGGTGGTGTCAATACATTTGCAAGATACTGTAAAAAAAATTGTCAACAGGCTGAGTAAACAACTACATAAAATCACCCCAAAATATATATTTTCTTATATACTTTGATGTATTGTGAAGTCTTTTAGTATATATTGCTAAATAAAATGCCAATAGAAATGAATTTTAATTCTCTTTATGTTGATTTAAAGAGGAGTCTTGACCTACATCACAGATAGACAGAAAAAAATTGTTCATCATATTGGTGTGTATTGCCTTGGATTGTTTCTACAGTCAACTCCATAGCTCTGTAGAGATTTAAATCTGTGGTCATCCTTCTCTCGTTCACTGTCCAGCTGGCTTTCTTCAACACTTACACAAGGAGAGTGCAGTGAATCCCATCACAAACCCAGCAGCAGAAAAATGGTGCCATTTTCCTGAAGGAGACAAAGCTAATATGTCTGCAGAGTCATGTGAACTTGTGTCATAAGGTTATCAGAAGTATATGCAACAACACATATGAATGAAAAATAAATAAAGTGCCCCAAGACATCTGATTTTAAAGCATATCACTGTGGTGCTGAGAAACACTTATTCGCAACAGTTGGGGGTACAGCTTTTTTATGAGAATGGACTAAAATAAGCCAGTTGCCATGGGTGCTGATGACGTTATTTGTATATAGATTTTAATTTCTTAATATTTTGACCTTCATCTCACATCAATGTTTCTTGTGTATTTGTTAGATTCAAAATAGAAATATTATAGAAAATAGCATACAAATTGGCATATTAAATCTGTTGAAATATTGAGGAAAATTAGAAGCAGTGCTGATAGGGCCTACATTAGCAAAGCGATTGATGTGTCTCCCTGTTTTTTTGTTTGTTTGTTTGTTTGATCAGGTGGTATACGTATACATGCTTTTCTTGTAAAAAAGAAAACAAAAATTCAAATATTTAGGGTTTAGGCGTTTAGTGTTGAGAACCTCCCATAAATAAGCATTTCAGAGTTGAGGTTTTCAGTGGTGCCTCGCTAAGTTATCATCCTTTATTCAACATGTTATATTAATGGAGAAATCTTTTTTTTCATGTTGGATAAATGATAAATTGATCAAGCAGTGAATGTTTTGTTTCAACATCTTTAAATTTAAACAGAGCCAGCCCAAAACCTTTTGGGGGCTCACGGCAAGATCTGAATTTGGGCACCAACTCCTGTTCAAGTTGTTGATTAAATAAACAATGATTCATTGTAAAGACAACAATATTTATTTGGCTGTGGGTTTGGTATACATTCCTGGTGTATCTGGCATATAGGGTTTCAGTATGCACCGAAAAATATTTGGAGAGATGAGCCCACTAGTCAATGTGGCTGCTGCAAAGATGTAGTAAGTTAACATTATCTGGTTATCTTCTATCTATGATGAAAATCACAAAGTGCTGAAGACAGAGCAAAAAAACAAAACAAAAAATAAAACAAAAAGGAAAATGTAATAAAAAGAAAAAAAAAAGATTTAATGATACAAATTATTACAAAAGATAAGCCATATGTATACATAATACATAGAAATGACACCAAAATGAATTTAGGAGCATTAGCATGACTACCACATTTTGAATCTTTATAATCACAGTTCTCAGGTTATAAAATGAAAAAAAAAAAAAAATACATTAAAATGATAGATTCAGAAAACTTTGAAACAATAATTGTAATGGAAACTATCAAAGCATTATTTTTTGATAAACTCAAAGACAAATAAAAATGTTTGACATCCATTCTATGCTGTTTTGTGTGTAGTCAATGTCCTTAATTTCTCATACCTTAGGTGAGGTCTGAGTATAAAAATCTGAACATTAACGTTCATCTCTGGATGTTTTTCCATCTTCAGGTCTGGGAGAATGTGCTTATGTTCATACATTTTTAAACATAAGTGGATTCATGTTGATGATGCATTTTAAATAGTAAAAGGGTGTAGACAATCAGACCATTTCCAAAAAACAGAGGCACACAATAACCTATTAATGCAATCTGCTGGTCAAATTTCAAAAAGAGACACAAAGATACAATAAAATAACCGATTTATGAATCTCACCTGAACCCAAAACAAATAGACTACCTGGTTTTACATAAACTTAACTGATTTTTCATTATTTTTCCTTTGTGCGCCTGGGAGTCTGTACTCTATACATGCCATGGGTACATGCATTCAGCACCCGTCATACTCATCGCTGTCACTTGCGAGTCAACCTATGGACAAAACAATAAACCATGAGGAATACTGCAGGTAGACTCAGCGCGCCAGGAAACAGCCGGGGAACATTAAGCTACAATGCAATCATGCGTAATCAGCGCAGAATGTTTAATTTCATTACAGATTGGAACAGGCACTAATTATTGCAACGCTGGTCCGGTGGAGCATAATTGGGTGCATGGATCGAAAATATGGATGCGCATAGAAAACACCTGTTGATTATCGGTAAAATCTCACAAGGAACTTTTTAAAGACTAGAAGGAGACTCATAAAAATGCATATCCACTGTCTTTCTATTATAAGTTTAGCTGTTTAGAAATGATATGAAAGACCTACCTCTGGATGCTGACGCGCAGCAAAATCCTCTTCATTCCAAACTCTTTCCCCACAGAAATCCGAAAATGAGTGAGAGACGGTCGGAGTTGGACATGGATCACCTTCATCCTTCCTCAGATCACTCCTCCCTTCACGCATCTGCGCTGAACTTTGGAGTTAATATCATAAAAAGCGGCGAACAGCAGCTCGTCAAGCTGCAGGAACGGGGTTTTACTGGGAATTGCGCACAATGTGCCATGATTCAGCTGATGATTCACTGAACACTTACGCGCGAACAGCCTTTAACTTCTTCGTAGTAGGCAGGGGCGTAGCCAGAAAATGTTTATGAGGGTGGCCAAGCAATAACCAATGTACACTGAGGGGGGTAGATAGGCACCACAACCTCACCGTCATTCTACACTGTTCCAACAGGACATTTAACAAGCAAAACATCCATATTTTCTAAATAAAGACAAACTATACTTTACCACAGCCTTTGCTAAAAAAATAAAATAAAATAAAAAATAGGCAAATATATTCAAACATCCGTGCTTTCTAAATGAAAGGTATAGGGAATAAAATTCTTTTTGTTAGGAATCCAGTTTGTGTGGGTTGTGCTTTTGTGTCTTCTTTCCCTCCACCACCAGGTTGTGCCCTGTCCTCGTTGGTCCTCTCACACACCTGCGGCTGGTTAACTAATCACTAAGGACTATTTGAGTCATGGACTGTCACTACCTCAGCGCCAGAGTGTTTGCCAGTTTTGGTACTCTAGCCAAGCTGAGTTTTTCTGAGTCTAACTTAGTCTTTGTTTTTTCGCTGAGCCTAACCTACTTTTTGTCTTTGCCTTTTCGTCAGGAAGCCTCCCTGCAAGCTGGATGTTTGGCCTTCTCCCCCTGGAAGGATTGTTTGAGTCTCACACTGAGCAGGGGATAAACCTACACAAATTCTGTTCATGTCCTCCTGGATTCCCAAGTGACAGTCCGCTCAATTGCTCCCCTGGGTCTAATTAAGTCTATACCTGTCCGCCCTCCAACGTGTATCAACCTCTGGAAAAACCCACACTGACTGGATTCTGGGAGGAAAGTTTTCTCCACTAACGCGAGTCCTGATTTCTCTGTCTTTCCAAGTCATTGTTCAAAGTTCCCACCGATCCTGAACTAACCACTGATACTTCCCTTCCCTCTTCCAGTTTCGATTAACTAGTTCACTGTGTTTCCTAAATCCAACCCAGCTGGTTTCATCAATAAATCTGTTCAAACTTTTACACTGGTTCTCTGAGTGGTTTACTGCATGTGGGTCAGATCTAAGAAAATCATGACACTTTTAGGTTTTCCATTGTCATTTCTTACCTACTTTTATCAGAAACCATTCTGCATAAAATTGATATTTACAAGCCTAATACCTACACAAAATGCTTATTTAATAAGTTTTAATTAAAATAGATATTTATCTATGATTTCACTGGAGACTCCTAAATCACTTGCAGAGACACATCATTTCCTCTTTACCCCATAAAAAACAAAACCTATTTCTGCTGGTATTCTGTACTTATCTTTAATGTTAGTATATTGATGTGCATCATCAAACACAGATTGTTGTCAAGTAATTGTTAAAATCAAAAATTAAAATGTTTTCAATGTTCCCCTTGAGAGTATTACTGTTGCCACCGTCTGTATTAGAGGGAAATAAATGGTAGGGGTGGCCAAGGATTGGCTAAGGGTGGCCATGGCCACCTCTGGCCCCCCATCAAGCTCCGGCCCTGGTAGTAGCCTACTAGACCTGCTAAAAACAAATGTTTTTATATTTTTGAAGAAGTCAAAGCTTGGTGCTGGTGTTAATATAATTTTAAATCTGAAAGATACATATTTGTCTTGTGTGCAAAATAATTTTCATTCCAAGAACACGAGAAGTGTTCTCATCTTATAACAGAAACTTTGTATTTATTTGACCATGTCAGGAGGTTTCTAATAGTTTAGCTATCCAACAAACTAAAGAGCAAAGATGGGAAGTAACGAAGTACAAATACTTTGTTACTGTACTCAAGTAGATTTTTCTGATATTTTTACTTTACTACTTATTTTTATGGCGACTTTTTAC